TTCTGCAGCAATATGGATTGAAGTCAGACATTCAGCAGGGCTTCCTCAATGAACAGAATGAATGTACTATAGAGTTGGGGTGGGGTGACAGACAATGAGAGATCGAACCTTCCCCAGTGACCCCCAAAGTAGAACTCAGGCAGGAGGGGGCAAAGAGGCATAAGAAGGAGGGAGAGGGCTAGGAGGCTGGCCGGACGGTCTCTCCACTTGCCCATTTTACGAAGACCAAACAGAATGACAAAAGGACAGAGACTGAAAAGCAGCAGCATGAAACATTTGGGTCATACTCCAAGACTTTCCCCAACACAAGGCCACGTTCTTAGAGCCTCAGTCTTTCCTGTCGGCTGGGGTGAGGAGAAATATTATCTAAAGTCCTAATCTGGGAGGCAAAAGGCCTGGCAGGTGTGACCTTAGCCAAGTATCTACCCCTTTCTGTGCCTTGGTGCACCCACCAGTCCACCTGCAGGCTGGACAGAAGGGTCTCAGAGGGCCCTTCAGGAGGAGCAAAGTCCAGCAAAGTTCCAGGAAGCCAGCCACCCTGCTTCACACGGTCTGAGGCTGCCCACCAAGGTGGACGCACAAACACAAGACCCATACGGGCAGCCCTGCAGTGTGGACAGGTGGAGGCAACACGCTCAGGAAGGGGGCCGACTCTGTCCTGGGGTCCAGGCTGGGGCCACAGGCCCAGGGATGAGTCTGTGGAGTCAGGGAGAAGGTACGAGCAGCTGTGCAGTAGGTTTCTTTTCATTGGATGTATGCCGCCTGTGCTTTGTGACATTCATGGACGTGAGTGTCCAAGTTGCAGTGAGTATGTGCATAAGACAGACAGACGGGCGTGTAGGAGGGATGCGCATGTGTGCAAAGCCGTGCACAGCAAAAGTGTGATGGCATGGGGTGAGGCTGAGCAGTTTCCACTCAATTCCACAGAATCCTGCCACTGCCTGCCTCCTGCTGCCTGTGAGCTGGGTGCTGGGGACAGAGAGGAATACACGGGATGCTGCTCCTGAGGAGCCTAGGGTGGGGTGCTGTTGAAGCTGAGGTGCAGGAGAGTCAGCTCCCAGTCAGACCCAGCTCTGGGCTGTGGCTCCTTCATGCTACTGGGTGACTTCTCCTGGGCCTCAGTTTCCTCACGTGCAAATGAGGATGAGGGCACCTGCCTCACCCCTTGGTGAAGGACACACGAGAGTGGTTTATAGAGAGCACTTAGCACGGTGCCCAGCACAGAGCTGATGCTCCTCGCGTGATAAGAAACTACGGTTCAAACTCCAAGAGCCAACCCAGGTGGCTGCAGGGAACAGGAGAGTCAGGACGGGGAGTCGGGAGTCTTCGGGTCTGGCCTACACCTCCATCTGCTGCTGTCTCCAAGAGCCTCGGTTTTCTCATAAGCAAAATGGGTTGTCAAATGTGAGAACCCACCTGGCAGAGATGCCTGAGGGCCGTGGGCACCCTCTGCTGGGATTATTTCCAAGCCAGGTGACATTCCTCTACAGATCAGGGGGAGCTTTGGTGGGGACCTGGGTTAGTCTGAGGGCCCAGGAGCAGCTGCCACCTCCTCCCCTCCCCATTCCCACAGCTTCTGACCCCAGGGACAAGGCTAACAGAGGATGTTTACAGAGTGTAAACCTTCACATAGAGAAATTCTGCTGGGCCGCTGGGGCCTGGGAGCAGCAGTCTCACAGGGGCTCCAGAAAGATGGGGGCTCTGTCCCCCCATCTTTGCTCTGTCCCAGCCCCTTCCAGCCTTCTGACTTCCAAAGGGAAGCTGGGTGGCCTTTGACAGGGTGCCGCAAGGTAAGCATTCCTCCAAACGCTCAAAAAGCACGGTGGGCCTGGGCCGTGATGTGTTCTTTCTCAAAATTCAGGGAGAAGGGCCTGTGAGGCGCAGAGGGCTTGGATCAGGGACAGGGCACAGGGAGGAGGAAGGGGCTTGGTGACAGGACCAAGGGCCTAAGGAGAGGAGGGAGAGCGCGGAGAGGGGCTAGCAATCCCTCATTCTAGATCTCAATAAGGAGAAGATAGGAGTCAGCGGGTTCCCACGTCCCAGAGGCCACAGCTGCTGGCAGGAGAGGTGGAGTCGGCGTCGGGCGTCCGCGCCGCTGGGCAACCTCGCGCACCTCCCTCGCGCACCTCCCTCGCGCACCTCGGTGCCAGAAACGGTGCGGGTTCTGTGTGGGGCCCCGTGGGACCGGCTAGCAGGTGTGAGGGAGGTGTCTCCTGGGATGAGTGGACCCAGCTCAGCCCAATTCCCTCCTTCCTGAGCCTTCTCTTCCAGGCTTTTCTGCTGGGGCCCCTCCTACCAGGGCCTGAGGCTCCGGGAAGGGGGTCAGCCAACTGCACATTGGACTCCCCTCACTTGGGCTGCCCCTGAGGGTCACTGGGGAAGGGGGAAAGATTTGACCAAAAGTGCCCCAGTAGGGCTAAAAGTCCAACAGCAGGAAGTACTTCCTGGCTCACTCAAGGCCCTGCCATGAGTGACTGAGAAACCTCACATCTGAAGCTCTCGAAGACCGAAGACCGGGAGAGGCGGCCTCCCGTGCAGCCCTGCGCCAGCCCAGTGATGACACCCACCCCTCACGCTCCGACAGACTCTTGCAGCTCACCAAGCTCTTTCCCACCCATTCCCTCATCCAAGAGGGAGGCCACAAGGTTGGGGTTTCTGCAGGTTTTGATGGCCTAGAGCTCTCAAGCTCAGAGAGGCCCAGTGATCAACCCAAAATCACACAGCACGCGAGAGTTGGTGCTCCTGATCCCTCAGGCGCCTTTGATTCCTAAGGTAGACACTGGATTCCCTGAGATCACAGTGCATTTCCTCCCCCAGAGCTCCTAAGAGATGCCTCAGCTCTGGGCTCCTGGGGACAAGTGGTCAGAACAAGCATGCCCCTGGCCAGGGCATTCCTGGCATCCAGTAAGGCAGGATGTGGGGCAAAGGTATCAGCGGATTTAGCTCCTAGAGAGGAAGGAGAGGCCCTTCCAGAGGAGGTGAAGACAGTGGCTGGCCAGGGGACACAAGGCAGTTCCTTCACCTTCAGTGACCCTTGTAAGGGCTGAGAGAACAGGCCTGGAGACTAAGGACCCCCACCTCAGTACTCCATTGGCTTCCCTAGGCCCAGCCATGGTTTGAAAAATGTCATCTCCCAAGAGGAGCCTATGGAAGGCACAGCTGCTCCCTGTATAGTATCTCTCCTGCCTTGGGCACCCCAGGCTGTAGTATGGGCAAGGACACCAGAATGCTGCCACTCTTATTAGCAGTCCCTGCCCTGGCCCCCAACCCTACCATTCCTTGCACCCCAGCACAGAACCTTCATCACTCCAACAGCATCCTAGGCCTCCCAGTGGGCACTGGGGACCAGGCTACTCCTAACTGTTGAGCCTGACTCGAAGCCTAACCTCATCCTCCTAGTTCTAATTCTCTACCCCTCATCTAGCCTAGCCGGGGTCTCTGCACAGTCAAGGCTGCCACCCGGAAGTTTACTGGCTGAGGGTAAGCTTCCTCTACCCTCCCTGCGGACAGGGGGCTCCTGTGCCAGCATTTCTCTCCCCTTCACCTCTGAAATTCTGTGAGCCCAGTTAGGAAGGGGCAGAGGCGGGCACATAGGGACAGGCAGAAAGGCAGACCAAAAGACGATAGAAACAGACAAGGAGAAGTGACATAGGTAGACAGACAGATAAACTAATGGACAGACAGGCACACAGATAACTGGACAGGTCAACAGAGGGATGGAAACAGACAAGGAGGACTATTGGACAACTAGGTGGAGAGATGAATGGACAGGCCAATTCGCACACAGGTGGAAACTTAGTCTGGCAGAGGGACAGCCAGGCAGGCAAAAGAACTGTCAGACGGTCAGATGGGCAGGCAAGGGGACCACTCAGGAGACCCCAAGACCAGAGGGTCCTCTCTCCGTGCAGCAAGAAGGGATTAACAGCAGCGTATTTTCCAGGAACCAGAGGTCTCTATTCGGCACCTCCTGGCGTCCCGGAGCCAGGCCTGGCCCTTCAACTGATATCAGTGGGGCCTCTCATGTTCCCAGCTGGGCCAGGCCGTCCCCCAAGACTGAGCTCTGAGCTGCCAAAATTCACTCTTTACATCCAAGAGGGGTCAGTGTTTTTTAAAAGTTGTAGGAGCCTGGGGGAAGGGGGGCACAGCGTCAGTGTTTCCAAACCTACCCCTCTCCTCTTTCTCACCCCCCACCCCGGGGTGCCCAGAGCCAGGCCTGGTGCAGCGGCCAGTGAGTTGGGCAGGCTAGCCAGCAGGCCAGCAGGGCGGCAGGGCAGGCAGGGCAGGCAGGGCAGGCAGGGCAGCCTGCTGCTGCTGCTGCTGCTGCTGCTGCTGCTGCTGCTGCTGCTAGGAAGATGAGGGTGGAGGGGAGATTGAGTGAAGACTCAGATAAGTCATACAGCACACATGAGTGTCGGGGCTTGGGGGGCTCACCAGGAACCCCAAAGACCTACAATCGGGAGCCTGCTCTGGGCTGGAGTGGAAACCTTCTCTGGAGAGGGGCATCTCCAAGGAAAGCCCAGGTGGGAATCCAGTGTAGTGACAGAGATGGGGAGAAAGTGACAGAAAGTGTGTGGAGGCCAAAGGGCCCCCTTTGTGTCTGCGACATAGGGAGACAGAAGTGATATAAGGAAAGGGGAGCCTCACTGTAGTGTATCCAGATTGCAGAGGGGATGAGGGACAAGAAGCAGGATGTGGGGAGCACCTGGCACAGAGGAGCAGGGGTTGGAGGTCAGGATGGAAATAAGGAGTTGAGGTGGGAGAGGTCAGAAGCAAGTCGAAGTAGGAGTCAAGGCTTGGATATTGGGGGTTAGGAGCAGGCTGGGGGAAATCTGTCATCGAGCTCAGGCCTGGGGGGTAAAAGATGAGGGTCAGCGATGGGGGTGAGAGACAGGAGGCGGAGCCAGGGTCCGGCGGCTGACCCAGGGGAGCCCAGGCTCCCACAGGCGCCGCGCGGGGCGAAAGCGCGAGGTATGGCAAGGGGCGCGGGGTCGCAAACTCACATGAAGACATGGTAGATGAAGGCCCAGCCGCGGGGTCGTTCCAGCACGTTGTAGACCCAGTTCTGCAGGCGGCGGTAGCGCTTCTGAGCGGCCGAGGAGCGCTGGCCGCAGGCGGAGCCGGAGCCGGAGCCGGGCCCCGGGAGGGGCGCACCCGGAGGCAGGGGGCTGCCTAGGAGGCCCAGGCGGCGCGGGGAGCCGCCCCCGCCCGCCTCGCCCTGCTCGCTCTGCACCGCCGTGAGAGCCACCAGCTCGGCGCGGGGGGCGTCCCCGGGCGGGGGGGCCAGGCCGAGGCGGCGCGGGGGGGCCTCGGCCATGGGCGGCGCCTGACGGGGGGCCGGGGCCCGGGGACAGTCCAGGGCGGGGGCGCGCGCGGGGCGCTCAGCGGCACATGGCTCGGACCCGAGGCCGGCGGGGCGGCCCGGGGAGGACGCAGGCGGCGGGGGCTAGGGTCCAGGCAGTGGCCTCGCCGGGGCCGGGGGCGGGCGCTCGGAGCCTGGGGGCCGCCGGAGCCCGAACTGACCGCCCGCTTCCCCGGCGACTGGGGCGGCTCTTTCCGACTCCAACTCTCTTATTACGCGCTCCATGCCGCTCGCCTTTCCACCTGCCCAGGCGCGCTGCTCACATGTCACCCTCCCCGCCCCGCCCCTCCCCCGCCCGCCCCCGCCCGCCCCGCGGCCGCCTTCCCAAATCGGGAGGGAGCGAGCGAGCGAGCGAGCAGGGCGGAGGGAGGGGACGCGTGGCGAAGGCGGCGGGCCCGGGCGCACTGGCTGCGCGGTCCGCCCAGGCGGTGCCTTGACCCGACCGCGTGGCGGCGGGCCCGGGGGCAGCGCACGGAGCCGCGAGGGGCGTGCACGGCTGCGAGGGGCTGTGCGGGGCTGTGCAGACCTGGAGGCCAGGCTGGAACGCCTCGTGTGTAGTAGCGGAAAGTGGGGCATAGAGTGTGGAGTTGTGGCTGCGGTCGCGATGGGACACGCGTCCCGTAGAGTTTGGGTGCGAGTGGATACAGAAGTGGCTTCTGTTTGTGCAGAGTGGGTTTGCTAGGTAGTGGAACTGAGTCAGTGGAGGTGTGGGTTGTGGGTAAGGTGTGGATGGGTGTGAAGATGGGTGTGCAGAGTCCGGCCGTCTGGGTGTTGGCCGTGTAAGCGATGAGCTGTGTCCCCTCGAGTTGTGCCCTTTCCGCTTTGTGTAGGGTGTAGAAAGTGTGCCGGTGCAGCGTGTGGCTAGGTGTGCAGCTCCTACTCGCCAGGTCCGATGCCCGAGCGCTGCTGAGTTGTGTCAGAGTGTGTGTAGCACAGTAGGTCCCCCACCCACTCCCACCTATGAACTTCCCTTCTTCATGGTGGGGGAAGAGCCCCCAGGTAGGCCACCCAGCCCCAAAGAAGAGTCTCCTCCGATCCAGGTTCGGTCTGAAATGCTCCGTTGACCTGACCCCAGGCTAGGGAACCAGGTGCAGGGTACATGGGTGCTAGCAGGTGAACTCGTAGCCAGCGTACGGGCTGGACTATCCCCTCCCTGGAGGTCCACAGAATCCCACCCAGAAACGGGGAGACTTTTCATCACCGCACTCCCTTTCCAGCGAAAAGTTCTTGGTGCCTGGCCTCCTCTCTCTAGCTTGTATAGGGGGCGGCCCTTTTCGTTCTCTTTAGCCCTCTCGGCCCAGCACAGAGCGGTGATTTGGGTTTCCCCAACCTCCTTCCCTCTTCCCCTGCGGAAAGCTTGGACCACACCAGCCGCTCCCTCTGCAGGCCCTGCCCCAGGGTGAAGCGCTTCCGCAGCAAACTCTTCCAGTTCCTCCGGGAGGATCTCGGGGGACGGAACAGCCGAGCGGGAGGGGCGGGAGAGGGGGCGGGAAGGCGAGCTCGATTCTCAGCTGTCAGCAAAGGCAACATTGATCTGCTCAGCGCCAGTGGGGGAGGGAGGCAGGCAGAGCTGCGGGCGCGCAGAGAGGGGGCTTCAGGGACCTAGGGGGTCTCCAAGCTGAGCTTGGCAACCTGCGCACACCTCTTCACCCTTTCCCTCTGCATAGCAGGGGGTGCCTTTTGGGGTCTGACCTGAATTTCTCTGGCTACTTCTGGCTCCAGGTGCGTTCAGGGCCAGAGTACCAGGCCTTTGGGCAGGTTGTGCCCTGTCCTCATTGGTAACTGGGGAGGGTTTCTGGACCCCAGGGCCTAGCTATGGATGAAGGGCCCCTGCTCGGTTAACCCATCTTCTCCCTATAAGCTGAAGCTAGCACCCCCTGGATATGTGGCACCACTCTCCCAGAGTCTATGGGACTGTCTGTCTGAGCCTCATCAATCAGAGCTCATGGGGGTGGCACTAAGGTCTGGGGACCTGAATGATGGTAAGGGATCTGGGGGTGTCTCTTGGAGTCTTTTTGAGGCTCTTCTTGTAGGGCAGAAATGGCACTTGAACCCAGGTTGTCCTTGTCAACACCCAGAATATCTGAAATTGTGTCTGTTCTGGGAAATCTGATTCTCAAGCTCAGCATCACCTCTGGACCCCACACCTCCCTTCCCATTTGGAGGACTGCGGAAGTTCTTTCCTTTCCTTGTGAGGAACCCTCGCTGTGGGGAGTGGGTCTCTCATCATCTTTCCCAACTCCAGCTCACCCCACTAAAGGCAGCAGAAGGAGGAAAGACACTGTGGTTACAGCTAGAGGGATGGAAGTTAGATCTCAGGAAGGACTTTCATAGGGCACAGAGGCCTATTTCTCCTGCAGGTGTATGTGTAATAGAGGGTCAGGCCCACTCGTTTTTAAAGTGGAGATACATGAAACTCTTCCTAAGAAATGAGGGGATGGGAAGATGGTTCTAGGAGGCTGTAAGCAAAGTTTTAGTATGTGTGTGTGTGTGTGTGTGTGTGTGTGTGTGTGTGTGTAAAAGCAATGGAGAAAGTCCGGTTCTGAGAGGACAAGCAGCCACTCATCAGGCTGACTTCCTGCCCCCATCTGGATTCCCAAGACATGACTGGGAAAATGGACTTTCCCTACCCCAGCCTTTAGTGACAATGATACTTTTCTGAGCAAACAGCTGTCTCAGACTCTCAGTCAACTTCTGTGCTGGAGGGAGCAGGGGAGCAGGAGAGCAGGAGGAAGGGGTGCTGTGGTTTCCCACCCTCCTCTGTCCCTTTTTTGCACCTGTCACCCTTCACCCCACCCTTAGCAGCTTTCTTCCCACCCCCCACCCCAACTTCTCTCCCTGGTAACACTGCCAAAATGTCCCTGCCCTACCCAGACTGGGCAATTCCCTCCTGGCTCTGGGCTTCAGTTTCCCCATCTGTACAACAAGAAGAGGGCAGGGCTCCAGGATCTCCTGTAATTCATCACTGTCACTATCATCCATCAATGGAGCAGGTATTGATTGAGAAGAAGGGTGAGATGGAGAGAGCTCCCATTTGCAGGGCACCAACTGGTACCAGGCCCTGCCTCTTCTGGGACCTAGAGCCTTTTGCACACACACAAAGCTGAGGCTGAAAGGCGTGGAACTCGCCTAAGGATGTACAGTCAGTGGGTGACCCTGGAACTGTCTGTGACTTGTCCTCTCCCCTGGCTGGCCCCTGCATGCGGTCCTGGGATCAGTGCTCTGGACTGAGGGGAGCCATAGATGGCCCAAGCCTTGTTCTCGAGAACTCACTTTTACCAGGGGCAGCGACTCCCAAGTATGAGAGGGTTGAGGTCTGCAAGTGGTTGGGACCAGGGGCCAAGTTCAAACCTGTCACTGACTCCCAGTGTGACCTCAGGTCAACCAAGGGCTTCCTTGGAGTGGGAAGAGGTGGTTTAAGTCAGTGGTTTTCAGACTCGATTAGCAAAGGAATCCTTTTTTACAGACAGAACCATAAGGTACCACCCCAGTGTGTAAAAAGCATTCATTCAGAGGTGCTCTGGTTAAACTGGGGTGAGCAGGTTGGAGTTCTACCCACCGGACTTTCTCCTCCTCCCTCCCTGCACCCTAGAAACCCCCTGGGTTTCCTTATAGTGCTTAGGGTTGCTAGAGGTCAGGGGAGGGAGACATCACAGACAGTGGCAGAGGGAGTCTTCCTTGGGACAGAGGTAGGGAGGACTTGGAGAGGCACAGAGAAGTACAACCAATGCTGCTGGCAGCTCCCACTGATGAGGCCCAAGCTGAATGCTAAGCCTCATGCAGGAGGCTTTATCTGCATTGTCTATTTCACCATCCCAACAGCCCTGTGAGGTAATACTATTCATACCCCATTTTACAGGCAAGAAGACTGAGGCTCAATGAGGAGACTTGTCTAGTACAGCTCTTTGCCCCTGTGCAGCTCTTTGTGTGTGTGACATGGGCAGGCGAGGTGTGGGGATGGGGAGGATGTTATAGAGCATGGCCGAGAAAGAGCGAGCTTGGCAAAGGGGACACAGCAGGTCTTGAATGCTAGGCTGAAGTGTCCAGTTTGACCTGATAAGAACCAGGGCCCAAGCCTGGGCATGCCACAGAGGCTGGGGCTCTACAGGAGAGAGCTCAGTGGGGTGGAGGGGGAGTACCATCCCCCAGGGAGGTTGACAGTGCCAGGGGCAGATAAAGCACTGAATTACAAGTCATGGCTGGACTTCCTGGCTCTACCTTTGGACTAGCTGGTGAACTTGGGCAAGTCATTCCACCTCTGCCCCACCTTCCCTGGCTGACTGGAGGACTGAAAATAATACATGAAAAAGTCACGATCATGCTGGGAGCTGTGTAAATGTGAACCATCATTTTACTGCTCTTCAGGCGTGTGTTCTACGGAGCGGGGAGATGCTGTGAGAATCCCCTAGTTCTCCAGCTCTTCTCAGTGGGAGGGGGGACTAGAGCGGAGCGTGTTCATGAAGTGACGGCATCACATGTATCGTTTCCCTTTAGGGATCCACCCCCACTGAAAGCAGGAGGAGGAAGTACAAAAGAAAACTGAGGCCTGCTTCCTTTTCCCAATGAGGCCTGAGAGGACAAGAGAATTAGGCCACCCAACAGGTGAGAGGTCCGGGAAGGAGACCCTAGATCTGGACATGCCACTGAGCTCTCCCCAGCCCAGACCATGCAGGCCAGTCGGCTATGAGCCACAGGAAGCAGGGAGGAAGCAGTATCCCTGAGCTCCGCAAAAGTGAACCCCCATTGATCCTCAGGGCTGGAGGGGGCCTACAAGGAGGAGACACTGAGGGAGAAGGGGTGTGGAAATGAAGGGCAAAGCCTTCTCCTCTTGCACTGCTTCCTCCTCCGCCTTCAGGGTTCTTCCTCCTTGATCCCAACTCCTGGAAGACCTTGCAGAAGGCACCACTACTGCAGTCCTGCTGGAAGGCTCCATGTTCTCAATGGCAGCCATTGGCACAGTGGAGTTGGTTGGAAAATGAGGAGGAAGGACTTTTCTGAGTTGCTAAGAGTACAATGGACAAAAGCTTCCTTGCACCCAACTCCCCTGGTAGGAGAATCTTGGATGAGGGCTCAGGATGGGGGGTGGTGTGAGTTGGAGGGGCTGCAGACTGGGTGGCATGGAAGGAGGTTCGGAAAAGAGGTGAGTCATGGTAAAGGAGACAGAGGTTCAGAGAAGAGAATGGGGGCTCAGTGACAGGGCCATGAGGCCTAGAAAGTGGGACTTCCAGGTCAAACTTGATCAAACGTTTTGGAGTCCCCTCTCCTTAA